TTTGTTTTTACTATTTACTTTTCTGTGTAATATATTGTCTACTTGGACTTTCAGGTAGAAAAAAAATATTTTGTTTTGATTTTTAAGATCTCCTCTCTTTCAGAAAATTCACCAGTATATGAAGTCCTATTAATAAATAACGTCCAAGTTGAGAATATACACAAAGAATAAAATAAAAATATTTTTTCGCCATTATATCTAACAATATTTTCCTAGTAAACAATTATATATATTACAATATAAAAGTAAGCTTATAATAAAATATTGTCAGTTGTCATATTTTACAGTAAACAATTTTCTCGATGCAAGAAATTTCAGAAGAATATAAATAATTCAAGGGAAGAAAAAAAGAATAAATCTGAAAGAGATCATTTACTTCAGAATGTTGAAAATGTTCTTCTAAATATGTTAGAAAATTATAAATAAATATATAATATAAATATAATATAATAAAAGTGTATATTCTTTCTTGTTCATTCTCTTTTTGTTGTTGCCATAGTACTTTATTTCGTTTAAAAAAAAATTAGAATTTCTTGAAGTTTTATACTATTTCAAAGTAAACTGTGTTAAGTTTATTGTTTTTTTCTTTTATAAATATTCACAAACTATCGATATTTCTCGTATTATTTAAGTACAGGTGCACGAGAATATAGATAATCAATAGTGTGTAGTTGCATGGTCATTATGCTTTTCGATTTCGCTTCTCTTGGGGAGCAAATCCTATATCTCGGCTCCCATGAAAGATATAGGACAGTTTAAATTATAAAATCGCACGTAGTCTCAAGATTAGTACAAAACGTTTGTAAAAAATAACGTATTCCAGTTTATAAATGTTATTTAATTTATTCAATGTAAAGGTGTAAAGAGGATGAAGAATTGAATAATTTATTTAATAACTTAGAGAAATGAAGAAGGAATAACCAAAGAAAAATTCGTTTCTAATTATTTACAAATTATATTACTTACTTGGTTTATCAGGAGTAAAACTGATTTCGTCTTATGGGACTTTCAAAATTATTTCCAAGGTAGCATAAATAAATTTACGTGTATTCCTTTGCAAGTTTTGCAGTCATTAATGTATTTGTATTCAATGTATTAAAATACAGAAAATGGTTTTAGACTAATTAAATGGTGCTCTTTAATTTTTTCATTGGAACATTTACGTTACCTTTGCTTATTAAAAAGTTAAGACATAAGTGATATCGAATTGATTTTCAAGATCAACAAAAAAAAACTTCTATCTGATTTTGCATGCATAACTTCCTATGTAACTATATTAATTTAATAAAATTGATATAAAGTAGACCCCCTATAACACTGTTGATATTTCCGTGTTATATGAATTCCATGTTGTACGAGTCACTTAGATTTTACAAATACGCGTGCCGGGCTATGAACGGCTCACGTATTTGTAAAATCTAAGTGACTAGTACAACATGGAATTCATATAAAACAGAATAATCAAGTGTTATAGGGATCTACTGTATAGGATGACCATAATTAAAGGTTTCTTATATAGAGCACTCTAGCTATAACTAATAAGTGGATTGATAGTAAAATTTGTATACAGATGAATGCAGAAAAGGATTTTGCAAAAAAAAAATATAAAATAATAATAATTTCTTCTTCTTCTTCTTCTTCTAATAATAATAATAATAATACTTCCACTAGGGAGTTTACAGGAAAATACACGAAATAACGTATTTATTCGTTCCGTATGGGGCATGCCTTCTGCAGAGGCTGTTTACTGATATAAGGAATGTTGCTTAGTATGTACTCTTATTGTTCAAAACCGTGTTCCGTATTGCATAATTCTTTTAGTCTAGTTATATTTGCAATGTTGAACATTATTCTTAACTACTCCTTAATGCCTCGCACTATTAGAATTCTAACTAGTTCAGTCACCTGGTTTTGCTATGCTAAATTTTACTAGTGACGTTATTATTATCATCTCGTGGTATGATTTTTAAGATGGCTGTTCTTGCTGGAATAAATATATTTTTGTATACAGTTTAGTTGGAAAACACAGTAAACACAGGATACACAAAGCGTGGAGCCTACTAGTTTGGTTTTCGGGAACGATTAAGTTCTGGAGAGGCTTCTGTCAGCCTGTGGACTGGCTCTATTGTACGGTTAACACTTGATAGGGTTGAAGATAACAGAAACAATATGCCAACAATTCTTTTAACAGAGAAGAGAAACTTTTGTTACAGTGACAAAAATTTCTTTGGTATTAGAAAATGTTATTTCACAATTCACTGGTTCGAGAAAAAGACGAATAAAGAAAGAAATTATATATTTTTTCTTTACATTTTACGTTGTAACTATACAAAATTGCTAAAGATTTTTAATATTAAATGTAAATTATAAAAGTATAAAATATTATAAAATTTTTATTTATATATTTCCGTATATATTTAGACCACTTTTTTTTATTTTTTTAAAGCAAAGTTAATCTAGAAGTAATTTGAAATAAAAATAAGCAATTTTAACGAGATAACATTATATAAAAATTGCATAAAATTCGAATTAATTTAGTGTGAAATGAGCTGAGAATGCTTATACTGTATAAATATCTTATATATCTAATTAGCAAGACTTTTCATCTGTAATAAAATGTAATTTAATCATTTTTAAATGTTAAATGTTATTTTTCTTCATTAAAATTCAAATGAAAAATATTTAAATATAGCCAACAAAATAATTTTTACTTTTCCGGCTGTTATACATGGAAAGTATGGCGATCGATCAAAAATTGACCCCCCCCCAAGATTTTGGGCTCAGGGCACCTTTGAACATCAAGAAATGCAAAAAAAAAAATTGGGTTTTTTCTGTATGTATGGATGTTTGTATGTATGTGGAGAGCGCGATTTTTGTTCACCCTGTTTGAAGCTTCTATGCTTTTTGTATAAAATTTCTAAAATTTTTCAGGGAGGTTTCTTTATTAGAGGGATTGATGTTAAATTTGAGATAAAGGAGGTCGTTTCTAACTTCAGTAGGTTCGGATTTTACTCGTTATTATCATTTACAAGTTTTTATAAAACCCATCCCTAACCGTCAAAATTAATCTTTTTGTTTATTTTACAATAGTTAAAAATATAAAAACTTTTTAATAAAATATAATAACAAACGGCTCCACCAAATTTTGTCGGGAAAGTTAAGCAACTTCTTGCTGGACTTTTTTTTTAATTAATTAAATAATTATGTAGAAAATTGTTTGTAATCCCAATTAAACGCTTTATTTAATTATTAATTAATTAATTACAGTCGACCCCCCATAACACTGTTGATTATTCTGTTTTATATGAATTCCATATTGTACGAGTCACTTAGATTTTACAAATACGTGTGCCGGGCTGTGAACGGCTCACATATTTGTAAAATCTAAGTGACTCGTACAATATGGAATTCATATAAAACGGAATAATCAACAGCGTTATAGGGGGTCGACTGTATAGTTAAAAACTAATACGAATTTATTGGATTGGACTGATTATTGTGAAAGAGGTGTAAGTCGGCTGTCGGCAACGGTTCCTCCCATGGTATTCATCCATCCATGGGCGAGTAACCTCAACTGATCTAGCTACATATTATTTTTTGGTCTATCATCTTCGATTGTTACACTAACCTTGCGTATGACTAGCTCTACAAATATTCTCTTCCTTATAGTCTTTGGCTATGTAAAATGTGAACTGTAAATTTATTATTGTAACTTCCAAATGTGAAATGTAACTTTATTAATAGCATTAACATAAATTCTTTGTTAGGATAAAATTTATAAATTTATATTTACAAATAAAATATGTTTGAATAATTGTCTTTCTTATTTTCAAAAGTATCTTACATTAAAATATATATTATTATCTTTATTTTCTTTCGTTTCAGAAGAGATCAATAAACTTGTCGTTGATAAAGAAGTTAACTTCAACAATCAGACATTCAGTTCTTTGTGATATATCAAGTACAAGTCAAAGAAAAAATATATATATATAATGGAAAGAGTAAATCTTTATCTAGAAATAGATAAATAAAGATAAAAATGTATAGATATTGAGTGAGAAAGAACATCGAGATAATGATAAAGTTGTGTTTGGTAATTGTATATTATACTCAATAATAAAGGAAAAGCATTTCTGTGTAGTGTGTTTTCAAATAACCTGAATAACGACTCACCAGTGACCAGTGGATAAAATCACTGAATACTGATAGTTGGTCCTCCTCTGACCAACGGATTGATTATATAAAGTTTCATTGTTTTCTTCTCGTGTCTAACACGTGATAAAAGTCTCACCAGGAGACAATCTTCTTGATAGACCATGTGTTACGTTGCCTTATCCCATCAGTCCAATATAATAACTTGAATTAATCTTCTTACTTCGGATAATGCAATTATAACCGTCTGCTCTTATCAAGAAGCACAACATAATCATCAGTATTTTGAAAATATAGAAAATATTTTACAATTACAGTTACTCTCAACATTACAAATAGAATTAGGCAAATATTTATTAATAAAAAGAAATTTATGATACATGCCAAATTATTTTTATTGTGTAATTATTTGAAGGAAATATATTGGTAATTTAATCAAATAAAGTATAATATATTAAAATTACAGGACATATCGATTGGATATCTCCTGCAATTTTTTTGAGTTAAATAAAAATTAATTAATTAATTAATTAATAATTTTTCACAGTTTTTTAAAATATATTATGTTTGTATTCCTTATTTATGATTTAATTTGTACATAAAAATAAATGTTTTTTCTTCTTACTTTCTCCCTGTATGTTTTTTCCATAATAACAACTGTATACTTACTTTTGCATCCCCTGTATATAAATAAGAATGTTTGCTTGTTTGTTCGATATACACTCCTTGGCCGTTGGACCAATTGCTACGAAACTCGACAGTTACGTTTACCTACTTCTATATAACATAAAAACATACATCCCATCCCAAAATATCTATTGGTTTTCTCTAAATCCATTAATTTATATCTACATTCGATTTGCTGATTTACACGTAGCGAAATCTATTAGAAAAAATTTAACAAAATAATAAATTAAATATAATTCTTATAAATAAGGATATAATTTAAAAATATAAGGGTATTTCAAAAGACTTTTGAATCATCCTGTATATATTATATTCACTTAATTGTTGTGACAATAATATAGCGCGAAATAGATGTGCTATATCATTAATGTGACAGGTAGTATATAGCAATTGTCTGCGTGGAATCGAGAGTGTTATCCTAGGAAACGGCTATCCGAGTATCGCGATAAACATTACAATTGTAGGCTAAAATATCCAATGTCTTTACGTGGTTTTTGTTTTAATATTTGTTATATCACACTATTTGATTTATATAACCATAAATTTATATAAACCATATTTGATTGATATAACCATATCTTACGTAAGAGTTTAGTAAATCCGACCCCATTCGAGATCTGATACATGATTCTCTATATCTTCCCAGTTTCTTGACTTTTAACCACTAAAACTTAATGGCATCCATCCCCTAATACACAAACCTCCCTGCAATATTTTAGAAATTTCGACAAAAAGTACAGGAGTTATTAAATTTCAAAATGGGTAAACACAATCATGCCCCCACACACGCTAACATATACAATAATTAATATATATAATAATTAAAATTAATTAAACATGAAATATTATAAACGAAGGAACAGCCTTAAATTAAGACATCTTATGAACATTACTCAAAAATAATAATAATAATAATAATTTATTTCGAAGTTCAGTTATTTAATCATTACATTTTAAACAATATACATATCAAATTGCTATTTTTATACATGAATACATTACTCAAAATTATATATTTACATTTAATTAAAGTTTAAATATATTATATTTACATATAATACATTTAAATTTGTCTTATTGAACTGTTGACTTTCTGCATCTTGTAAGGGAAATTACATTGCTTTTAAATGTATAAATTTAATTAAAATTCATTACTCCATCATCATATATTCACTTATTTCTATAATAATTCATTTGTAATGCATCTGACAAGAACATTTAATTACATTTTTCATATATTTCTTATATATTATCATCCACCCCTTCGTATAAACCTTTCCATTTAAAATTAGTTTAACACCAACTTAAAATTTTTATTTCGTTCCTTTGTAATATAATAGTATATAATAAATTAAAATAAACTTTTGCATATTGATTAACGTTAATGTTCAAAGTAAGTTTTTTTTTTTTTTGCAAAATTTCGACTTTTTCTTGCGTTTATTTACTTTTTATAATTGAGAATCGATTTATTTTTATTTATTTTCACATAAGTAAAAACGTTTGGTAACAGAAACTATGCTAAATTCCCGACTCTATCATTAGAGAGAGGATTTTTTCATGATTAAAAATTTGCAGTGGCCGAGTGAATTAAGCCACTGAACATTAATCTTGAACTGGCGCCCACAACAGGCTGGCCTAAGCAAATTTTCACTGATTTTTCACATGTCTAGCACATAAATACTTACTTTCCCGTAGAAAGTTCTCTCACAAGACATCACCCGGAGCCTATCTAGTGCTATATCGTATAAAAAGAGGATGGCTCCCGGAAAGACGTTTCTTCGTGGAACTCAGAATGAACTAATGGTTTCATTCACTCCATCATGGCAAGACTTTGCTTTAGTAGAAAACACGTGCTCGTCATAATAGTAATAATATAAAAATCCATTTACTAAAATACATTTTTAGAAATGATTGAAAGGAACAGTAATTAGGAACCGAAATTTGTTTTAGTTTCACATGTGCAACTAGCCTTATGGGGAAGCAAAATGCTCTTCATCCCGTATCATCTGCTGCAACGTGCTACATTCATTTCAATCAATACTAAAAAGTCTCAGCTTTTCTAAAAAAAATATATTACTGCAGATAATTCTTGTTAATACATTAATCTTTTTTATTTTAATTTTTTAAATATTTCTTCTATTATTTCATGATATAAAGCATTTTTTTAAATACTGTATTAAATAAGTAATTAGGAATATTCAATTGGTTATAAGTCTTCTGTAATATTACCTCTTTAAGACAATTATTGATAAGATATTGTACAAAGATTATACATGATTATAACTGTACAATTCGCTAGAATTTTTAAGAATTGTAATTTAAAGACATTTTTTTTTAAATAAGAAATCGCATACGTCTTACATCATGTGTCAATTGTACACTTTTTAATATCTTAANGTACAGTACCTAATTTATATATAATTTATATATAATACTGTACAGACGATAGTTAAACTCAACTTACCCTCCCAAACTCTCCGTAGCGTGGCGCTAGACGGCGGAAAATAGTTCGGCTGCTTGTCCGCGATGACGAGTTGGCAATGACGTTTTACCGCGTTTTACGCGTCCCGTTATACGAATACTGCCACAATTTTTTCGCCGCGTCATAGGAATCTACGTTATTGGAACCCGCGTTATAGGAGGGTCTACTGTATTATTATTCCTCATATGCATCCAATTGTCAGTTTAGCTCTATAATTATTAATATATGTTTGTTTATTGTATATTATGTAACACCGTACAAACTATATGCATATATTTGTCTTTTAATAAACGCGATGAAGGCGCCCATAGGTTCCATGTACCTATGGTCTCTTCCCCCATCCTATCTTACTTTATTTCCTCCTCATTCTAACATTTAACTCTTCTTTCTGCTTCTGATTCTGGGGCTATAACTATGAGTGCGATCCATAACCAATTCACACGATGTAAAAATAGAATAAAAATTAATTGTTTTTTGCCTCTTTGTTTTTACTATTTACTTTTCTGTGTAATATATTGTCTACTTGGACTTTCAGGTAGAAAAAAAATATTTTGTTTTGATTTTTAAGATCTCCTCTCTTTCAGAAAATTCACCAGTATATGAAGTCCTATTAATAAATAACGTCCAAGTTGAGAATATACACAAAGAATAAAATAAAAATATTTTTTCGCCATTATATCTAACAATATTTTCCTAGTAAACAATTATATATATTACAATATAAAAGTAAGCTTATAATAAAATATTGTCAGTTGTCATATTTTACAGTAAACAATTTTCTCGATGCAAGAAATTTCAGAAGAATATAAATAATTCAAGGGAAGAAAAAAAGAATAAATCTGAAAGAGATCATTTACTTCAGAATGTTGAAAATGTTCTTCTAAATATGTTAGAAAATTATAATTAACTTACAGTTTTTCAATTTGTCGTCTCTATCGCGGTGGCAAACGCAAGATTTAATTTTTGTAGAGGGTTGAGTTATGGGTGTGCCGTCTTTGCGCCAACAGGAACAGAACTTTCCTTCGTTGTGACATTGTAAAGCCGCGTAATCACCATTCGATTCGCAAATGGGCACTACTTTAACCGGTGCAGAACTCTTACTCGCCTTTTCTCTGTGTTCCTGGCACTCGCTCTTTTCTGAAAAGAAATGCAAAATTTTCTCTCCAGTTTCAATATTAATTAACTTCTAAATATTAAAATGTGACTCACTTTGAGCGGAAGAAATCGCTATTAAAGCGACACCAATCTGAGAAAAAATAAATAATTCAGATAAATATTTTGTAGACTATTTTAAATTAGAAATTATTCAAGAAATTCTTACTAGGAGTATCAAATATATCTTCATCACAAAATTTATTGTAGCTGCTCTGAAAAAATATAAAAATAAGAGTAAACTTGGTCAATACTTTGTCTTTTTAATCTAATATTTAACTTACAAAAACATTATTAGACACATTAATTGATTTTAAATTGAATTGGTGTGAATTGATGAGACAACGCAACTCCAAAAGTTAGCCTCCTCGAAAGATTTTCTACGGGAAACGGGTGATAAAAATCATGCGGTCAGTCTGTTGATCAGGCACGAACCCGAAACCGACTACTGTAAGGTCTCTTTTTATGCGGATTATTTTAATGCGATTTTGTAGTTGTGCGGTTTGTATTTCATCCAAAAATTTCTTGGACAAACATACATATAGGCTTGTTTAGGAAGCCCGCGTATAGACAGTCTCCAAAAATCGTAAAACGCTCAAAGCACACTCCATTTGTTCCAATGACATATAACATTTATGGATGTAAAGGACAGCTAGATCTACCTTAATCGCTTTAGTTCCTAGCAATTTTTGATATAAATGTAATTAAACATAAAAAAATACTTAAAACTGAAAAAAACGAAAGAAATGCGTTAATTTTGAAGAAAAAGCTTCAAAGTTTAACTTCCTTTGTTTCGCCCTTCTGTGAAATTTAACACCGATGAGTCATTGTTTACACAACTGGGTGACCTTGAGAACATCTGGTTTTGGATTNACTAATAATAATAATAATACTTCCACTAGGGAGTTTACAGGAAAATACACGAAATAACGTATTTATTCGTTCCGTATGGGGCATGCCTTCTGCAGAGACTGTTTACTGATATAAGGAATGTTGCTTAGTATGTACTCTTATTGTTCAAAACCGTGTTCCGTATTGCATAATTCTTTTAGTCTAGTTATATTTGCAATGTTGAACATTATTCTTAACTACTCCTTAATGCCTCGCACTATTAGAATTCTAACTAGTTCAGTCACCTGGTTTTGCTATGCTAAATTTTACTAGTGACGTTATTATTATCATCTCGTGGTATGATTTTTAAGATGGCTGTTCTTGCTGGAATAAATATATTTTTGTATACAGTTTAGTTGGAAAACACAGTAAACACAGGATACACAAAGCGTGGAGCCTACTAGTTTGGTTTTCGGGAACGATTAAGTTCTGGAGAGGCTTCTGTCAGCCTGTGGACTGGCTCTATTGTACGGTTAACACTTGATAGGGTTGAAGATAACAGAAACAATATGCCAACAATTCTTTTAACAGAGAAGAGAAACTTTTGTTACAGTGACAAAAATTTCTTTGGTATTAGAAAATGTTATTTCACAATTCACTGGTTCGAGAAAAAGACGAATAAAGAAAGAAATTATATATTTTTTCTTTACATTTTACGTTGTAACTATACAAAATTGCTAAAGATTTTTAATATTAAATGTAAATTATAAAAGTATAAAATATTATAAAATTTTTATTTATATATTTCCGTATATATTTAGACCACTTTTTTTTATTTTTTTAAAGCAAAGTTAATCTAGAAGTAATTTGAAATAAAAATAAGCAATTTTAACGAGATAACATTATATAAAAATTGCATAAAATTCGAATTAATTTAGTGTGAAATGAGCTGAGAATGCTTATACTGTATAAATATCTTATATATCTAATTAGCAAGACTTTTCATCTGTAATAAAATGTAATTTAATCATTTTTAAATGTTAAATGTTATTTTTCTTCATTAAAATTCAAATGAAAAATATTTAAATATAGCCAACAAAATAATTTTTACTTTTCCGGCTGTTATACATGGAAAGTATGGCGATCGATCAAAAATTGACCCCCCCCCAAGATTTTGGGCTCAGGGCACCTTTGAACATCAAGAAATGCAAAAAAAAAAATTGGGTTTTTTCTGTATGTATGGATGTTTGTATGTATGTGGAGAGCGCGATTTTTGTTCACCCTGTTTGAAGCTTCTATGCTTTTTGTATAAAATTTCTAAAATTTTTCAGGGAGGTTTCTTTATTAGAGGGATTGATGTTAAATTTGAGATAAAGGAGGTCGTTTCTAACTTCAGTAGGTTCGGATTTTACTCGTTATTATCATTTACAAGTTTTTATAAAACCCATCCCTAACCGTCAAAATTAATCTTTTTGTTTATTTTACAATAGTTAAAAATATAAAAACTTTTTAATAAAATATAATAACAAACGGCTCCACCAAATTTTGTCGGGAAAGTTAAGCAACTTCTTGCTGGACTTTTTTTTTAATTAATTAAATAATTATGTAGAAAATTGTTTGTAATCCCAATTAAACGCTTTATTTAATTATTAATTAATTAATTACAGTCGACCCCCCATAACACTGTTGATTATTCTGTTTTATATGAATTCCATATTGTACGAGTCACTTAGATTTTACAAATACGTGAGCCGTTCNCGGATATGTCGGGGCTCCATCCCTCACCACTGGGCCACCCCATTGTATGACCTGGCCATTGGTGTGTAAAGTTAATACTGCAAATGTACAGAAAGTGTGTTTGTATGATTTTATCCAAAAATTCCAGCTTTTAAAAGACAACTTTATTTAAAAAATGTCATATTACATTGAATAAATTAATTTATTGTATACCAGTGTTTTTCAACCTTGGGTTGCGACCCCCAGGGGGGTTGCAAAGCCTTACATGGGGGGTCATGGGTAAAAGAAAAAACAAGTCCTATTCTACAATAAAAAAACTACAATTTTAGTGAGAAGGCTGTGCCTGTTTATTTTACAGTACAATTGGTTTTTCGATCGATATTTAGGTCTCAACAGAAAGAAAATTAAATACGTAGTTTTTAAAATCACTAATATAGTTATAATATGGCCCTGGGGGGTCGCCAGAATTTTTTAACTTGTAAAGGGGTTGTGTATTCAAGAAGGTTGAAAAACACTGCTGTATACAAATAACTTTTTAATGGGTTTTAAAAGAAAGAAAACTATCTTATGATATTTATAATTGTATTTGTGTAATTTTTAAATTATTTGCAACTTTTTAAAAAATTTCTCTTTTTTTTTATATTTAAAGGACAGTCTCATAATTCAAGTCCAGGAATAGTTCGCTGTCCTGCTTTTGATTTCAGTGAGCAAGAAGATGAAATTTCAATTATTTCAAGTTCAAATGTGGTATGTTTAGCTAAGCATAAATTTACAATTTAATAGAATTTAATTTTAAAAATAATTAAAGGTAGATCTAGTGTATTCTATACCTGTTTTGTCTGTTATCTTTGCATTGACTAAAATATAGAAAACAATATTTGATCATATGTAATTTTATTTTTACATACAGGGGTGCAAAAGTAGTTATACAGTTAGAATTTGAGAAACAGGGATGTTTAGTGTTCATTATTATTATTTTTCTCTCTTATTATTTAATTGTATTCCTTATTTATGATTTAATTTGTACATAAAAATAAATGTTTTTTCTTCTTACTTTCTCCCTGTATGTTTTTTCCATAATAACAACTGTATACTTACTTTTGCATCCCCTGTATATAAATAAGAATGTTTGCTTGTTTGTTCGATATACACTCCTTGGCCGTTGGACCAATTGCTACGAAACTCGACAGTTACGTTTACCTACTTCTATATAACATAACAACATACATCCCATCCCAAAATATCTATTGGTTTTCTCTAAATCCATTAATTTATATCTACATTCGATTTGCTGATTTACACGTAGCGAAATCTATTAGAAAAAATTTAACAAAATAATAAATTAAATATAATTCTTATAAATAAGGATATAATTTAAAAATATAAGGGTATTTCAAAAGACTTTTGAATCATCCTGTATATATTATATTCACTTAATTGTTGTGACAATAATATAGCGCGAAATAGATGTGCTATATCATTAATGTGACAGGTAGTATATAGCAATTGTCTGCGTGGAATCGAGAGTGTTATCCTAGGAAACGGCTATCCGAGTATCGCGATAAACATTACAATTGTAGGCTAAAATATCCAATGTCTTTACGTGGTTTTTGTTTTAATATTTGTTATATCACACTATTTGATTTATATAACCATAAATTTATATAAACCATATTTGATTGATATAACCATATCTTACGTAAGAGTTTAGTAAATCCGACCCCATTCGAGATCTGATACATGATTCTCTATATCTTCCCAGTTTCTTGACTTTTAACCACTAAAACTTAATGGCATCCATCCCCTAATACACAAACCTCCCTGCAATATTTTAGAAATTTCGACAAAAAGTACAGGAGTTATTAAATTTCAAAATGGGTAAACACAATCATGCCCCCACACACGCTAACATATACAATAATTAATATATATAATAATTAAAATTAATTAAACATGAAATATTATAAACGAAGGAACAGCCTTAAATTAAGACATCTTATGAACCTTACTCAAAAATAATAATAATAATAATAATAATACTTCCACTAGGGAGTTTACAGGAAAATACACGAAATAACGTATTTATTCGTTCCGTATGGGGCATGCCTTCTGCAGAGACTGTTTACTGATATAAGGAATGTTGCTTAGTATGTACTCTTATTGTTCAAAACCGTGTTCCGTATTGCATAATTCTTTTAGTCTAGTTATATTTGCAATGTTGAACATTATTCTTAACTACTCCTTAATGCCTCGCACTATTAGAATTCTAACTAGTTCAGTCACCTGGTTTTGCTATGCTAAATTTTACTAGTGACGTTATTATTATCATCTCGTGGTATGATTTTTAAGATGGCTGTTCTTGCTGGAATAAATATATTTTTGTATACAGTTTAGTTGGAAAACACAGTAAACACAGGATACACAAAGCGTGGAGCCTACTAGTTTGGTTTTCGGGAACGATTAAGTTCTGGAGAGGCTTCTGTCAGCCTGTGGACTGGCTCTATTGTACGGTTAACACTTGATAGGGTTGAAGATAACAGAAACAATATGCCAACAATTCTTTTAACAGAGAAGAGAAACTTTTGTTACAGTGACAAAAATTTCTTTGGTATTAGAAAATGTTATTTCACAATTCACTGGTTCGAGAAAAAGACGAATAAAGAAAGAAATTATATATTTTTTCTTTACATTTTACGTTGTAACTATACAAAATTGCTAAAGATTTTTAATATTAAATGTAAATTATAAAAGTATAAAATATTATAAAATTTTTATTTATATATTTCCGTATATATTTAGACCACTTTTTTTTATTTTTTTAAAGCAAAGTTAATCTAGAAGTAATTTGAAATAAAAATAAGCAATTTTAACGAGATAACATTATATAAAAATTGCATAAAATTCGAATTAATTTAGTGTGAAATGAGCTGAGAATGCTTATACTGTATAAATATCTTATAT